CGCCATTCCGAAATCGCAGGAGGGTCGGTGTAATGCACTACCAAAACGCCCGTAACTAAGAAACAAATGCTAATTCGATGATGCCGGCTGGCACACTGATTCACTATGAATGTAGGCCGCACCCCCTAAAGGCAGAAGCTCGTACTACATCCGGTTCGCCCTCTATTGACACAGTCTTGAAACTTTCCGATCGCACCTCGTACAATAAGTAACGGCTTCAATAACCTAAGACTAGGCGTGGCTACGTCTTAATTCTTCGACGATTTAAGTGATACCGGAGAGACAGATATTTACTCCTTTAAAGGCATCGTCGATGCGTTGGCGGTGGACTTAACGCGTTGTTTGTGGTCACTCATTTTACTGCAGGTGGTGGATGAATACTACGAGGCGAAGCTGGACGTGCGACTCTACATGGTAATGCTCCTGCCACCGCTGATTCTCATTAACTGGGTACGCAATCTCAAACTGCTCGCGCCGTTCTCCTCGTTCGCTAACGTCGTCACATTCGTGAGCCTCGGGATCACCTTGTACTACGTGTTCGACGGGATACCCTCGCCGTCAGAGCGAAATATGGTTGGCAATGTAGTAGACTTCCCGCTCTTCATCGGCACCACGCTGTTCGCGCTCGAAGCTGTCGGAGTGGTGAGTGTGCCTTCAGCTAACTACATTCAGTGCAGTCTACCTTCAGGAGCTAAGAGTACGCTCAGCTAGTCAAACTCCCCCGCCTTTTTAAGAAACCTGAAGGTTTATTAATGTGTTCACAAAACCCATTCATCGGTCTCTATTTTGAGTCAGATACAACAATTTCTCTCTAAGATACACTTTAGTATTATCCTTCAAACTTAAGTCTTCGAAGTGGCCTCTTTCCTTCAAGCTTTCCAACCAAAATTTTGTACGTAATTTTTTTTAATTTTCCCCCTGCATACTATATCATTACTTAATCACCCTGGTAATATTTTGTGAAGATTACCAACAAGGTTCTTGTTGGCTTATTAAAACATTCGTATTGTATTTATTAGATACCATGAAATTATTAACACCATCCACACAACTTGCATTGAATTAAAAATAACAAAATAGGATTTGAGGTTTTCATGGCGG